TCTAAACTTTTTCTGTGTCTTCTCTGCTGGCCTTCTCTGCTGACTTGGCATTTTAATGTGATGTGATGGGTACTGAGTGAGTCCTTTGAGCATTCCCCTACCTTTTGACAGCAGCAAAGGTGCAGCGTACTGATCTTTTATAAGAAGATATGGTTTCTCTCTAGGTTTTTGTGACACTGCTCTTTCCTGGTTCTCCTACCTACCTGACCACTCCTTCTCAGGCTCCTTTTCTGGGTCTTTATCCAGGTCATCCCGTTAAAGGTAGGTGTCCCACAGACAGCTCTCCTGGGTCCTCTTCTCTTCTCCCTCTATACTATTTCACTTGATGATCTCCTCAGTTACCACAGATTCAATCATCAATAGATTCTCAAACTTATTTATCTGGCCCTAACCTCTCTACAGACCTCCAGTCTCACTTCTCTAATTGCCAATTAAATATCTCAAACCAGATGACCTATAGATACTTTAAGCTCAATATATCTAAAACTGAACTCATTTTCTCCCCCCCAAAAAAATCTTCCCCCTCACTTCCAATTTCCTTCTTACTACCAAGAGTACCACCCTTCTCCCAGTCCCCCTAGCTACCAAGTTATGCATCATCCTCAACTCCTCATTCTCTCACACCCCCACCCCATATCTATTCCATTGCCAGAGTCTATTCATTTTTAAACTTTATAATGTCTCTCAAGTTTGCCCCCTCCTCTCCTCTGATCCTGACACCATATTGGTGAAGAGCCTCATCACCTCATGCCTAGACCATTGCAATAGCCTTATGGTTGATCTCTCTGCCTTAAGTCTCTCCCCACTCTGGTCCATTTTGCACCCATTTGTCAAAGGGATCATCCTAAAGTGCAGATTCCCACCCCTACCCCCAATAAATTCCAGAGATTTCTTATCAACTTTAGGATCAAATATAAAATCCTCTTTTCCATGTTCAAAGCCTTTAAAAACCTGCCTTCCCCATCTTTCCAGTCTTCTTATACCTTTTATCCCCATTCCCCTCGCACATACTCTTTGATCTAGTGACACTAGCTTCCTTGCCATCTTTGCTACATTTGGGAAATTTCACTGGTTTATCTCCATGCCTGGAATGTTCTGCCGCCTCCTCTCCACCTCTTAGCTTCCTTCAAGTCATTCTGCACTCCTGTAGTAGTTAGTTTGTGCTATGAGAAATGATGAGCAGGTGGACTTTAGAAAAACTTAGAAAGACTTATATGAACTGATGCTGAGTGAAGTGAGCAGAACCAGGGGGACATGGTACACAGTAATAGCCACATTGTGCAATGACTAACTTTGATAGACTTATCTATTCTTAGCAATGCAAGGATCTAAGACAACTCCAAAAGGCTCAAGATGGAAAATGCTGTCCACATCCAGAAAAAGAACTATGAAGTCTGAATACAGATCGAAGCATATTATTTATTCTCTCTCTTGCTCTCTCTCTCTCTCTGTGCTTCTCCTTTCTCATGGTTTCTCCTGTTGGTTCTAATTCTTCTTTACAACATGACTAATATGAAAATAGGTTTAATATGAATGTATATGTAGAACCTATATCAAATTGCATGCTGTCTTGAGGTGGGAGGATGGAGAGATGGGGAGAAAATTTGGAACTCAAAATCTTATGGAAGTGAATGTTGAAAACTAAAAATAAATAAATAACTTTTAAAAAAAAGAAAGAGTACTTCATCCAGGACTAGAGATGACCTTGTGAATTCCAAAGGTGCTGAGACGCCCCTGAGGCAGTAATGTCCCCTTAGAAGTAGTGGATGATGAAAGGGGAAGCTTCTGTATCAGAGGAGTCAGTCATTGAAAAGACTGAGTCAAGCTTGGCTGTTTGTTCAGATAGTGCCCAGTCTAGGTGGGATGTCAAATGGATAGATATTTATGTCCCAGTGAGGTAAATCTTAGCCTCCTAACTGCAAACCTAGTTATAAGTTGTTACTTTATTCTAATTATTTTATTAATGTGTGGTATGATTCTTTTATGCTTAGAATTTTTCTATGTAGGAATAAACTACCTGACCCATACCCTATTCATGTTTGTACATTGGGTACCTTCCCCCTCTCCTTTGGGAAGAAATCTTAGACTTGAAATTCCAGGGTCAGTCCAAGAGGGAGGAGCCCCCTAATTGGAAGTCAGGCTTTCCCAAGACTGAACTCAGTCCACAAATCACAATGGCTGGGTACAGGACAAAGAGGAGTGAATGCCTCAGACTCTGTAGACTCAGTCAAATAGTATTTCCATGTAAGACATGCAAATAAGATGGGACTGGGTCCAAATAAATGCTTCAAGACCAAGAGAAAAAAATAGAAGGCCCTACTAGGCCCTTGGAGCTTCCAGTGGAAAAATCTCTTGCCTACAGCCCCCAGTGAGCTGCTTCAGGTCTCATGGAGGGAAAGCACATACCTCTCCTACAGTCACATTCAAGGGCATACTGGAACCATTGCCAACAAACTCTTAAGAACTGATTATTAATTTTTAAGTGTGACTGTTTACATATTGGAATTCTACAAACACTACAAATCAGGGCTTGGTTTATTGTTTTATAATTTCTAAACTTAAGAAAGTGATAGGGAAAATATTGATAATGAAGATTAAACTTTAAAAGGTACCACAGATATATTCTTTTTTTTTTTTTTTGAGTGGGGGATAAGTCAACTGTTAGACTCTGGTTATATTTCCTCTGATCCCAGAGTCCCAGTCTATCAAAAGTCATAGTCCCCAATATCCTGCAAAGATAGAGGAATAGTGCTCAAAATGGGGTTGCCCTGGAGTCAGGAGGACCTGAGTTCAAATACAGCCTCAGACACTTACTAGCTGTGTGACCCTGGGCAAGTCACTTAACCCTGATTGCCTCCATAAACAAACAAACAAAAAAAAAGCCCCCAAAAACCAAAAAAAAATGCAATTGATGGTACTCTGCTCTAGACATCTGGAAAATTATGTTCCAGATGTACCATATTCTAGGAAGGACAGTGACATCACAGAGTGCGTCCAGAGGAAGGCAACCAAGATGATGAGGGAACTGCCCTATGAGAATCAATAGGACACCCCCAGGCCCAAGGATTGTAAAAGATCAACAAAGGAAAAGAGTAAGAACTTATTAAGCACCTGCTATTTGCCAGGCATTGGGCTAAACACTTTACTCATGGGAAAAAGGCATTGGGCTTGTTCTGCATAGCCTCAGAAGATAGAACTAGGATCAATGCTGGGGATGAGAGAAGGTACAGAGAGGCAGACTTTGGTTTAGTATGAAGAGAAACTTTCTAGCAATTAGAAAATGTCCCAAGGTGGAATAGAAAATAGTGAGTCGCTCCTGTCACTACTGGTCTTCTAGTAGAAGCTAGATGGGATGGGGGACAGGAGAACTGGGGAGGTATTACAGAAGGAGATTATATTTCAGGGTGGGACTTGAACTGGACATCCTCCTTTAAATCCCCAAATTCTCAGATTGCAAGAAGCTCCATTTCTCCTCCAAGCTCAGGAGCCCCATCCCCAGGGCCCATCCCTTCAGTGTTCTCATTGAAGAGTTCGGGAGGCTGAGACTTGAGATATGGATGAGGAAGTGAGATGAACAGACAGAGGGATTGGCTCTGTGGGTTTGGACAACTGCCAGGACTGAGTGGGTTCCCATTTAAGGGGCGAGAGGACAGGACTCTGCCTGGACACTCTGTGGAAGCATTGAGGACCATTCATAAAGAGTGAAGAAAGGTAAGTTCTCTCTTTTCTCAGGGTGGTCCAGACTTTGACATGCTAATAGGGGTGGGAGGAGCAGCTAGGTGGTACAGGGCATAGAGTAACAGGCCTGGAGTCAGGAAGACTCCTTTTCCTGAGTTCAAATCTGGCCTTAGAAACTTACTAGCTATGTGACCCTGGGCAAGTCATTTAACCCTGTTTGCCTCAGTTTCCTCATCTGTAAAATGAGCTGGAGAAGGAAATGGCAAACCACTGCAGGATCTCTGTCAAGAAAACTCCAAATCAGGTCATGAAGAGTCAGACATGACTTAAAAAATGACTGAACAACAGCAACAAATAATAGGGGTGGGAAATTAATCTTGGGAGAATTTGGGAAGAAGATAAGGTACAGGGTGAAAGAAATAGGCTGGGGAGAAGCTCAGGAGAGTTAGACCTGATCATAGGAGCCAATGCTGATGGAGTGTGCAAATTTGTACCATATTGTGCTACATTGTGCTACATTGTGCTATCATAATATGTTACACAATGTCACACACCTTGGGTTACATTATACTGTGTTGCATTATATGGTATTTCATTGTAGCACAAGATCTTACTTTACAGAGTGACACATTTTTCTACATTCAGTTGATCACTCTGAAACAATTATCAGGGTGGTTCTAATTTACCCCAGTGCCAACTCTGATCTGGGAATATGGGATCTTCAACCAGGAATTGACAGAAGAACCTTCCTACTTGTCATCAGACAGACATCCGCCTACTAACACAGAGATCATATCTCCTGGGGGAACCTTCACCCTCAGTCACTAAAATTACCACCAAGTCTTAGGGGCTGGGGGATGTAGGCAAAGGTGAGACAGTTCACAGTGACCCCCTTCTGAAATTCTCAAAGAGCTCACATCAACTCTCCCACTGAATTCTTTGGCAACTTACATTGACCCTCTCCTCTCAGCTCTTGACTTTCAGGTGGGGCCACACTAACACATCACATTCCTAATCTTGGGAGAATCCACCGGAAGAACCCTTCCCTGCCGTCATCAAAGCTCTTTCAAGGGGAAAGGGCATGCTGATTCGCTCAGTCTTCCCAAAGTTCTCTAGCTAGAACTTACAATGACCAACCCCCCCCCTTCCCTAAATATTTCTAGAGGAGGATCACTCTGTTAGTCAAAGCTCTTGGGGAGAAGGGTGCTCATACTGGTACTCTACCCCCAGACTCTCTTGACATTCTTAGCTTAAGAGGAGATAAAGTTTTGGGGGCAAGAGCTTTTGGGGCAACATTGACCCCTACTTTCTCCTTGCCTCAGATGATGCTGATGCTGATATTCTTCCTTTTCACCCTCCCGGTGACTGTCACTGCTGAGGAGCATGGTGAGTGATGCCTCTACAATACATTCTTCCTGCTACTGGTTAAATCTCACCCCTTGCATATGAGCATATCTGACCCACCTCTCAGGACTAGTCTCCATCCTTAGCCCTCATCTCTGATCCTTGTTCCTAACTTCTCAGTACTGATCTCATTGCTGGCCCCCATTCTTGACATCATCAACCCTTTCCTTTATTCCCATCTCCCACTCAGTCTCACCAGCACCCTGTGTGGGCTGTGAAATTTGCATGCAATGAATAATCCAGTGTCTGCACCCATAGTCCAATCAGTCATTTACATTACAGTGTGAATTAGTTCACTGACTGGAGAATTCATATTTTTAAATGATCTTTAAATTTTCTTGGGGCAGCTAGGTGGTGCAGTGAATAGAGCTCTGGTGTTGGAGTCAGGAGGAACTGAGTTCCAATCTGGCCTCAGACACTTGACACTTACTAGCTGTATGACCCTGGGCAAGTCACTTAACCCCAATTGCCTCACCAAAAAGCAAAAAAGAAAATGAATGTTCAAAAAGAAAAATAAAGTTTCTTCCAACTCTCAGAATGTGTGACTATGAAAAGTGAACCCTGCAGAAATGCTTAAGGAAGTGAAACCAACATTGTGTACAAGCAGCTTGCCTGAGGAGGAGGGAGGTATATCTGGTCTACAGCCTTCATAGACTCTCAGATCTAACCTCTTCTAGTCTTAGTGTCTTTATCTGTAAAATAATGCCAATAATACATGGCCAAATAATACAATATTTGTAAGTTGTTACTATCTAGCTCCCTATAGAGACTAGAAATTGTCCAGCCCTTCTCCCCTTCCTGCTTCCAGGTCAACAGCGAGGGTCCTCGTTTTCTGGAGAATATGGAAGTGGAGGAGGAACCAGCTTTTCACTCTCTGGGGAGCACAGAAGGGGCAAGATAACTGGATTTCGAATCTATGAACAATGCAGTGGGATCATCCATGGGTAAGGGTCTGGGGCTCACAGTAGCCTCTATCAGCTTGTCTTGTGACCTCCTGTTATGCCTCCCTTGTATTCCTGATCATCCTGTCTACTCACCCAGGACTTCTGGCCTCCTGACCCCTCCAATCCCCTTGTGGCCCTTGGTGTCTCTTCCTACTACATCCTTCCACCTTGCCCCTCAGGAGATTTCTTCCTTTTCTCCCCCACCTCCCTTTCCCACCTGCCCTATGTTCTTTTTTTTTTTTAAAGCGGCATATACTTCATTCCTTTTTTTTTTTTTTGGTGAGGTATTTGGGGTTAAGTGACTTGCCTAGGGTCACACAGCTAGTAAGTGTCAAGTGTCTGAGGCTGAATTTGAATTCAGGTCCTCCTGACTCCAGGGCCAGTGCTCTATCCACTGCACCACCTAGCTGCTCCCTGCCCTATGTTCTTACAGAGCTAATGTGAGAGCACTAGTTCATTCCAAAGGCACTAGCACCTGTCCTTCTGACCCTTCTCAGATCTTTCTCCTACTTACGTTCACCCTCCATCTCCACAGCATCCAGTTCCAGTATGCCCACATCTGGAGCGAATCACATGGCTCCAAGTCAGGACGGAGCCACGAGGTTCTCCTCAAGAACGGTGAGAAGATCACTCAAGTCCTAGGCAAATACTACTCCTACATCCAGCAACTGATATTCATCACCAACTACGGCCGAATCTTCACTTTTGGGCAGCCATCAGGCTACTCCTTCAATGCCACTCCCCACTACCGAGGAGCCTTCCTGAGCTACGTCAGTGGGCACCACAATAGTTATGGTCTCACTGGCGTTGGCTTTCACTGGGATGAGCCCAAGTTCATCAAGGCCTGAGGGTCAAATAGCGCACCGGGGAGGGAGAGGAAAGGCTCAATATTCCCCGAGCCTAGCAGAATCATGGGAATTTGGGGTGGGTGACAAAGTATATATATGACAAAACTAGCAGGATACCCTTTGGGGAGGGGAGAGGAGTTCCATATGGGGATCAGGGACCTGAGGGTCAATGGGGAGTCCAGAAGGGAGGGAATAGGAAGGTGAAAGGGGGGTAGGGGAACAGGGTGGAGAGATAAGCAGAGGAAAAAGAGGGAAGGAGGGGAAAGGAAGAGGGAAGGGAAGGAGGGGAAAGGAAGAGGGAAGGGAAGGGAGAAAGCAAGAGGAAGACAGGATCCTGCATTCAGTGAGAAGGAGATCCTCTTCTAGCCTTTGGACGGACACAAATAAAACAGGATTCACATTTTGCTGATGGGAAGAGACAGGTGCTAGCTGGGGTGTTTCCCTAGGGGTGTAACTTGCAGATAAGACTGACTTCTGGCTTCTCAGCTAAAGCCCTGAGATACCGAACACTTGACCCCTCCCCCATTACCCTGCAGCCAAAAAAAAAAGTTTAATATAATTGTATCTGCAATAAATGGTTTTTCTTGGCTACATCATACACGCCGGATGCTGCTACCATGTGTTCAGGAATAAGTTAAGTCTTGTTCAGTTTTTGCTCTGCTCTTCAATTCAATTCAACAAGTATTTGGGCTAGGTCTGAGGGACTCAAAGAAAAAAAACAACAGTTCCTGCTCTAAAGGAGCTTACATTCTGGTGATGTTATTTTGGTCCTCTCCAAGAACAAAGGACACCAACCAACCAACATGGGGGGCAGGGAGTGTCACAAAATGTACATAGATAAGTGTAGCATCCCCTCTGGGCTCTCTCAACTTTTGGGTGGTGGCACCTGGCTTTGGTCTGTTGAGTCCTCAGAGGGCAGTTGACTTTTCTTTTTTCTGGTTTGCTCCTGGAACCCTTAAGAAATTGGGATGAGGGTTGTCAGGGAATTCTCTAGTCTAGGAGCAATGGGACCTCTTGGGAGAGGCTTACTAATGAGTGGGGGTTTGAGGGTTGTGGGTTAAAGATTGCAGGTCAATTACTTATTCAGTGCCATACCAATCAAACTACCAAAAAATTATTTTATAGAGTTAGAAAAAAATAATAACAAGATTCATTTGGAAGAGCAAAAGATCCAGAATATCAAGGAAACTAATGAAAAGAAATGCAGGGGAAGGTGGCCTAGCCATTCCAGATCTTAAATTGTATTATAAAGCAGCAATCATCAAAACTACTTGGTACTGGCTAAGAAATAGAGTGGTAGATCAGTGGAATAGGTTAAGTATGCAAGACACAGTAGTCAATGACTATAGTAATATATTTTTGATAAATCCAAAGACCCCAGCTTCTGGGATAAGAACCCACTCTTTGAAAAAAAGAAACTGCTGGGAAAACTGGAAAAGAGTATGGCAGAAACTAGGCATAGACCAAAATCTCATACCATATACCAAAATAAAGTCAAAATGGGTTCATGATTTAGATATAAAGGCTGATACTATAAGCAAACTGGGAGAGCAAGGAATAGTTTACCTGTCAGATCTATGGAGAAGAGAAGAATTCATGACCAAATAGGTGATAGAGAACATTACGAAAAGCAAAATGGATAATTTTGATTACATTAAATTGAGAAGTTTTTGCACAAACAAAGCCAATGCAACTAAGATTAGAAGGAAGGTAGAAAGTTGGGAAAGAATTTTTATAACCAGTCTCTCTGATAAGGGTCTCACTTTTAAAATATATACAGAATTAAGTCAAATTTATAAGAATACAAGCCATTCCCCAATTGATAAGTGGTCAAAGGATATGAACAGACTGTTCTCAGATGAAGAAATTAAAGCCATCTATAGGCATATGAAAAAATGCTCTAAATCACTATTGATTAGAGAAATGCAAATCAAAACAACTCTGAGGTACCACATCACACCTATCAGAATGGCCAACATGACAAAACAGGAAAATGATAAATGTTGGAGAAGATGTGGGAAAATTAGAACACTAATGCATTGTTGGTGGAGTTGTGAAATGATCCAACCATTTTGGAGAGCAATTTGGAACTATGCCCAAAGGGCTATAAACATGTGCATACCCTTTGACCCAGCAATAGCACTTCTAGGGCTGTATCCCAAAGAGATCACACAAATGGGAAAAGGACCCACATGTACAAAAATATTCATAGCAGCTCTTTTTGTGGTGGCAAAGAATTGGAAATTGAGAGGATGCCCATCAATTGGGGAATGGCTGAGCAAGTTGTGGTATATGAATGTGATGGAATACTATTGTGCTACAAGAAATGATGAACAGGCTGACCTCAGAAAAACCTGGAAAGACTTGTATGGTCTGATGCTGAGTGAAGTGAGCAGAACCAAGAGAACGTTGTACACAATAACAGCCATGTTGTGTGATGACTAATATTGATAAACTTAACCCTTCCCAGCAATACAAGGATCTAAGACATCTCCAGAGGCCTTGTGATGGAAAATGCTATCCACACCCAAAGAAAGAACTATGGAAGCTGAATTGTTATTTTTTTTCTCTTCTGTTGAGTTTTGTTTCCTCTTTCTGGTGGCTCCTCCTGTTGGTTCTAATTTTTACTTACAACATCACTAATGTAAAAATATGTTTAATAGGAAAAAAAAGATTGCAGGCCAAACCTAAAGCAAATAAATGTGTTAGCATGTTAAGGAAGACTGCTAACTTACTGCTAGCAGTGTTGGCTTCCTAGGTACAGAATTTTTTTTATAACTTTTCAGTCTTACTTCGAGTACATAACCAATCAGCAGCATTGTGTAGCAACTTAGGATAGAAAAGCACTTTGCAGCTCATTTTACAAGTGAGGAAACTGAGGCAAACAGGGTTAAGTGATTTTCCCAGGATCACACAGGTACTAAGTATCTGAGACCAGATTTGAACTCAGGAAGATGAATCTTCCTGACTCCAGGCCTAGCACTCTATCCACTGCACCACCACCTAGATGCCCCTAATAAATAGCAAACCAGGATTAAAGGTTCTCCTGAGTCCCTGCAAAGTCAAATTACTCTAATTCCCATTGAAAGCTTCTGACCTTCACTCACACCTATGGGCCACCTTGTGGACGCACATGAAAACACAACTGTGCCTATCTGTCAATCACGTTGCTGTAGCAAAAAACGTGTTAGTGCTGCCACCCAGTGGTGCTCGGTACCAATTAAAGGTTCTTGTCCCAGGGTTTCAAGCTGCAGTATATTGACTTCTTCCATCTGCCAGGTGGCCCTGGATGAATGAGACCTAAGCGCATCCCTCTCTTTAGGCCCTGAGGCCCTGCACCTTTATTTGATCCTGGGATCTTTCCTCTTTCCCAGAGCGAAAAGTGTTTAATAAAGAGTATAGAGGCCATATGTCCAAAGGACATGCTGGAAGGTAGAATTGATTACCGGTGAAGACTTGGGGTTGGAGAAGAAAGAAGGAAAGAGGTCTGAGAGAAGGGAGCTGTAGCACCAGAGAGAGGAAAATTCTGAGGATTTGCCTTGATCTGACATAAGGAAGATAACTCTGGAAAGGCCTGGAATTGTCCTTGCCAGAGAAATTCAAACAGCCCCAGCAAGCTATGAGCTCAGGTACCTGACTTCAACTAGCTCACATTCTGCAGGAGATACTATGTGTACAAATAAGATAATGCAATGTAGACAAAGTAATTTCAAAAAGGAAAGAATTCCAACCATTGGGAACAACAGGAAAGGCATTTTTAAAAAGCAGCACCTCATCTGAGTTTTAAAAGAAACTAGGAGGGGCAGCTAGGTGGCGCAGAGGATTGAGCACTGGCCCTGGAGTCAGAAGGATCTGAGTTCAAATCCAGCCTCAGACACTTGATACTTACTAGCTGTGTGACCCTGGGCAAGTCACTTAATCTCGATTGCCTCAACAAAAAAGCCAAAAAAAAAAAAAAAAAAAAGCAAGGGAGGCTGAAAGGTTGAGGTGAGAAAGGAGTGAGATTTGGGCATGGAAGGCAGGTGACTCGATATCATACCCAGAGAAAACTAGCAAACCAGATTGCCATTCAAGTGTTTGAAGAAGAATAGTAAGAATTGAGATTGGAAAGGTAGATGGGAGCCATATTGTGGAGAGCTTTAAATGCCATACTGAGTTTTCATTTTAACCTAGAGATGATAGGGAGCCAGTGAAGATTTTTGAATATTGGGATGTTTTGAATATTGGTCAGATCAATATATTGAGAATATCAGTTTGGTAGCTATGTGCAAGGTAAAGCAGAAAGTACAGCCTGAAAACAGGAATATGGTTGGACAGTCCAGATAAGATGTGATGAGGAAAGAAATAGAGTAGACATGTTTGAGTCAAGCCTCTGCCTTTCCTAATGGGGGTGGGGATGGCCTTCATCCTAGTAAATGGCTTCTCCATCTATTCTCCCTGCCCAGAGCTAGTGTCCCCAAATGAAATGACCTCTGACCACATGCTCCTCTCTCCTAACTCCTTTTCCTACTCAGCTAAGAAATCACCTTTAACCTAATCCCTACCATGAGCACTTCCTCACACAAAATGGCCAATAACCTCTTCTCAATACCATGATCCTTTGCTCCTCCACCCTGGGAAGTAGCTGCTTACTTTTCTATGTCTACAGCTTAGTAAGTGCCTGGTACATAGTAAGTTTAATAAATGTTTGTTGACTGATAGATGCTTTTCATTTCCTCTCCATAATCCTAGCCCTAGACAACCCCACCTGATAAAATCCCTTAAGCAAACATTTATTCCAAGAAAAAAAAAAGACAACAGCAAGAAAGCAATTTATTTTTTAAAAAAAAATTTACAGAAACATCAAAACATTTACAAAAACAACCTACAAAAAACAATCACTTGCAATAAAAGCAAGCAATTCCCAGCCTAACACTGTTTCGTGTGGGCTGACAAGACGACAAGGTGGGAGTGGGAGTAGGAGGCTTATAGAAAGGCACACCAGGTGCCTCAAAAAGAAGGGCCAGCATCCTCCAAATTTCTGGTGACTGATGGGTCAAGTAGGTAACGGAGAAATTAAGTGAAGAAACAATCTAGTCCATCCCCCAATAAGAAGACCTTTGAAACCAGTAGAGTAAGGCAGTCTGCAATGACAGTCTGCTCTGATCACCTCACCTCACTGAGCTGACTGACAGCAGAGAGAAAAAAAAAAAGGTAGACAGCACACTGGAAGTAAAAGATGAACATGTTCTTTAAGTAAGGAAGCCAAAGGGAACCCAGGATCATAGGACTGAAAGTTAGAAAGGATCTCAGACATCAGCAATGATAAGATCAATTTTTCCCATAAAGTAGAAATTAGATTTTAGGTTAAGATAACTTAGTTTTGGTCATATGCTGAAAATGTCCCCACAAATCCATGAAGGCAGAAGGGGCGGGAAGGCGCTACTGCCCAGAGCCCTCAGCCAGAGGAGGCCCCTTTAGCCCTGCTGCCAGCTGCAAGGCCATGGAACAACCCCCTCACTTCAGAGCAGCCTAATCATCCCTCCATACGCATCGATAATACCTGAGCCAGACCAAAAGGGTCACCTGAGTAACGGTGAATGCTAGGGCAGAAAGTCAGGCCGACAGGCCAGTGTCCTGGTGGTGCTCAGGCAGACAAAGCCTGGCTAAAAACTTTGACTTTCTGACCTTCAGAAAATCTCTAGGGCTGGAAGAACCCCTGGTAGACATTGGTGGAAATGAGGTGCTTGCCGCAGTCTAGGGAAGGCCACTGACTGCTCAGAAGCTGAGTGGTTTCTGCAGGTTTTTCTGGTGTGAGAAACCTCAAAAAGATTAAAATACTTCAAACTTCTTCTCAGGCAGCTTCTTCCAGGTCTTCAGGTCCCTAGATCTTGATGCAAAAGAAGAGGAAAACACATTCTCCAGAAGGGCACACTGCAGGGTTAATCAGTCATGTACTTATCCAGATCCCACTGTGTGCCCATGCTACCATGCTTCCCCCAATCTGAGCACAGTGCTCATCTTGGAACCTTGGGATAGGTCTCCCCAGAGCCTGAGGTGCCAGTGGGGTGAAGGTCTGGTGCCAGGTTCTCCCTCCCTGTGGCCTGGGCTCTGCCCTTACTCCCTTGCTCCCTCCCTCCCTGCTGTGCCCACCCCAGCTCCCAATAGGGGCCAGGCCCTCGGGGCTTCTGAGACACAGCTCTGTCGGATCACAGCTCATCTCGGGCTGTGCTGTCAAGTGGGGACTGTAAGACGTCCGAGTTCTTGGCCTCCTTGCTCAGCTCCTGCTGCTCCTTCATCTTCTGGGACTTGGCTCGATCCCAGTCTGTCTTCACCTTTTCATTATTCCACACAACTGAGGTCTCCGTGTCACTGATGTAGCCATCATCCCCTGTGTAATGAGTGGGGTACACGAGGAGGGGCTCCACCGAGAAGGCCAGTAGGTCCCGCTTCTCAAAGTGTTTTTTGTAGTCAGAGCTGCAGAAAATGTGTCTCTTTAAAGGCTGAGCTACCACCTCCCCTGAATTGCCCCACATTCTTCAGCCACTCCTCTCCCCTCTCAGAACCCTTTTTCTCAGGGGGTTCAGTATAATCTGAGCTCATTCTTCTCTGAGTTAGTGCTCTTCCAACTCTGCCCCTCTTCTCCCCTCCCCATCTCATACTCTTGGTCCCTCCCTTGATCCCTGAGATGGGAGCCCTATAAGATGGTAGCACCAGTCCCCAAAGAAGGCCAAACTCCAACTTGGGTAATCAAGAATCAAGTCAAATGATATACTCTTTTTCAGGACCCCTCCTTTTGGGAAAACTCAGTGCCAAAGAGCTCCATTACAGCCAGCCCAGCCTTCCCTGAAAAACCTTCTCTGTAGCACTGAAGGGTATTACAGGATTATAATGGGCTGTGATTGTAGATAAAACGACCCAACCAGCCAGGTAGTGCCAGGCTCTCAAATGACCTTACCCTCTTTCAACACCACAGCCAAGGGCACAAAGTCTCTAGTTTTACTGAAATAACCTTGAAAGCCAAGCTATCTCTTCCAGCATAGGGACACTACTCTTCCCTACCAGGAAAGACATGGGGCCATCTCCCTAGTGATAACCCTACCTTGCCCCTCCCTGCAAAAAAATAGCTAGGGAGACATGTAGCCCTGTCCTCCCTGCATGGCATACATTCCGCAAAGCAGAGTCACACACAGGCTGTCCCCACCATAGACACATGTTAAGGAAGGTCATGTTTGCTCCATTTCTCATGCTCCTCCCAGAGGGAGCTGAATTCCAAGAATAAGGACTGTTATTAGTCACTCCTGCCCTACCCATGCTCCCCCACACACTTACACTGGGTGTTTATCAAACATCACCGGCAGGAACTCATCCACAGGGAGCATCTTAGAGAGAGGCTGGGCAGCCAGCAGCTTCTGTGCTCCCTGGAGGGAGATGACATAGGCCAGAGTCCAGTAGGAATAGTCAGCCTCTACCAGGTTCCGAACATGTGGCACTGCCTTCTCTGGGTGCTCCACTTGCATCCTCTTCCTGCCCACATAGCTGGAGAGAGAGAAAGAGAGACAAATGGCCCCATCCCAGAGTCAGGAAAGCATTTAGGACCCTGGCAGAAACAAGAAACCTGCAACTGTCCAGAGTGAACTCCAATGTGGTCATCCCCTCAAGAAGGGTCCCTCTCAGGCCTCTGGACAGCAGGGATGTGAACCCACCTGAATAACTGAAACCAAACCTTGGCTCTTGGATCCTGCTGATAGAATAGCTCTTTCAATTTGGAACTATGCTCAATGAGCTATAAAACTATACATACCCTTCGACCTAGCAATACCACTACTAGGTCTATAACCCAAAAGAGATAAAAAACAAAAAGGAAAAGGACCTATGTGTACAAAAATATTCATAGCAGCAGGTGGCAAAGAATTGGAAATTGAAGGGATGTCCATCAATTGGGCAATGGTTGAACAAGTTGTGGTATGTGATTGTAATGCAATACCATTGCGCTATGGAAAATGATGAGCAGGATGCTCTCAGAAAAAGCCTGGAGAGACTTGCATGAGCTGATGCAAAGTGAAATGTACTCTGTACAAAGTAACAGCAGTATTGTAAGATGGTCATCTGTGCATGACTTCACTATTCTCAGCAATACAACGATCCAAGACAACCCTGAAAGACTTAGGATGAAAAATGCTATCCATTCCCAGAAAAAGAACTGATGGTATCTGAATACAGATGGAAGCAACTTTTTTTTTCACTTTCTTTATTTTTCTTGAGGTTTTTTTTCTTTCACAACATGACTATTGTGGAAATATTTTGCATGACTACACACATGTATAACCTATACTGAATTGCTTACTTTCTCAATGGGGTGGAAGGTGGGAAGGGAGGATGGGAGAGGATTTGGAACTCAACGTTTTAAAAACAAATGTTAAAAATTGTTTTTACATGTAACTGGGGAAAAATAAAATATTAAATAAAAATATAATAAAACAGAACAGCTCTTTCCCTGAAGCCTCTCCCAATCCAAGTTTTCTTCTCCATTCATTATTAATGAGGGGCAGTATGGTATCCTGGAAAGAAAGCTGGTCTTGTAGTTATAAATACCTGGGTTCAAGTCCTCCTCTGAAAGGAGACAGATTGTATGACCATGGCTAGGTCACTTAATATTTCAGTATCCTAGGCAACTCACTAATACTTTAAGTCAGAGCAATTGCCAGAGCAATTTGCCAGGGAATTTCCTCTATCTATGACACTATAAATCCCAAAATAACAATAATAACAGCAATAGTGATAAGTGACCCATGTAGTACATGTATGTGTGCTTTATACACATTAGCTTATGTAAGCCTCACAAGAACTCTGTGGTACTATAGCTAATATTAACCCCATTTTACAGATGAGGAAACTGAGGCACAAGAGTTAAGATCTGAAACTAAATCTTTCTGACTCCAAGATCAATGGTCTGTCCACTATAGCAGGCTACCTCCCTGGCTCAACTGGTTCTCACAAGATGCAGTTTTTTAGGGCAGCTAGGTGGCACAGTTCAAATCCGGTCTCAGACCAGACACTTGATACTGACTAGCTGTGTGACCCTGGGCAAGTCACTTAACCCCAATTGCCTCACCAAAAAACCAAAAAAGATACAGTTTTTTTTTTAAAGTTTTGATACACTTTATAGTTCTCCCAAAACAACCACTGCATCTCATTCATAAATCTAGCAGAGGCCGAAACACCAGACTTGGGGTCTAGACTAGCACATCAGGGAATGAGATCTCCCACTTGACTGTTATTTTCTAGAAAATCCAAGATTTACCCCCCTGTCATAGAGTCTTTGCTCTCTATGATCTCTTCTTTTTAATGGTATTTTACTTTTTCCAATTACAAATAAAGAAAATTTTAATATTTATTTTTTATAACATTTTGAGTTCCAAATTTTCTCCTTCCCGCCTTCCTCTCCCCCCTCCCTAAGATGGTAAGCAACTGGATATAGTTTATATATATACATATATGTATATATGTATGTATGTATTGTTTTACATATATATGTAAATCATGTAAAACATATTTCCATATTAATCATGTTGTGAAAGAAAAGACGGGACAAAAGGAAAAAAATCAAACACACACACAAAAATAAAGTGAAAATAGCTTTGATCTGCATTCAGATTCCATCAGTTCCTTTTCTGGATGTGGATAGCATTTTCCATCATGAGTATGACTCTTTCTTCTTATGTATATAAGGATATGGCTTTGCTATCAGAATTTTACAATTATAAGTACTCTCTTCCCTCATGCTGAAAAATAAAGTCCATCTTGCTTGCTACAAAATATATGTGGATGGACATGTGCATATACACATTTATGCACATATTAATTGTATATTAATGATTGAAAAAAAAGGCCTTGTTAGGATTTTCTTATGTTGTGAGTTTATTTCCTCCTCCCCTCTAGACTCCAAGTTAGCATAGCCCAATTTGGAGGGTCCAGTGGATTGAGCATTAGGCTTGGAATTAGTAAGACCTGAGTTCCATTTAGCTTAAGATACTTATTAGCATCCTATGTGTGACCCTGGTCAAGTCACTTAACTTCTGTTTGACTCAGTTTCCTTATCTGTAAAATGGGATAATAATAGCACCTACCTCCCAGAGTTGTAGTAAGGATCAAATACAGTAATAATTATAAAACACTTAGCACAGTGACTGACACATAGGAGGTGCTATATAAATGTTAGCTATGGTTATTAAAATTAGAATCCCAAAGGGAGGAGAAGAAACTCTATAAAATCTTTTGATTTCTCTCTCTGTCTCTCTCTCTTTTTTAACTAGGTAATGGGGTTAAGTGACTTGCCCAAGGTCACACAGTAAGTGTTACATGTCTGAGGTTGGATTTGAACTCAGGTCTTCCTGAATCCCAGGCCGGTGCTCTATCCCCTGGGCCACCTAGCTGCCCCCTGATTTCTCACTTTGACAAAACCCAAGGCCCCTCTCCTGACACTGACCAGACCATTCAGGAGTAAAAAAAAACTTCCCAGGAGGATATACACCCACATCAACTGGCTCATGTCCTCTAAGTTTTCATTGTTCATTTCATTTACTTTCACCCCTGAAGCAGCAAAGAAGGTCTCCCCCACTTTTCCAATAACATCTTCAGAAATAAGCATCTAGCAGGGCTCACCCAGCCCCAGAGCATATACCTGGCACCCTAGATATCCCCCCTGCTAGCTAACTTTGAGTAAATCAGAGAACATCCCACCCCCTTCAACTGTGCTTAAAGATCCCAGAGTATGGATCTGAAAGCAGAGGGAGCAGATGATGACTTCTCTTTGCCAGTCACCATCCCTGGAATGTGGAAAAAGAGAGAGAATGTCTGACAGGCATCACAAATAGGATTTTCCCCACAGAACAAGGGAATCTAGGAAGCTATGTTTACAGCTACTATACCATAACTCAATTTGGATGCCTATTCAGAGGACTGAAGCATCTCCAGGCCCCCTGAGGTGCTGGTTGGCTGGACAGAATATCCTTTGGTCTTGCACCTTCTCCTTTAACCTCTCCTGTGCAGATGCTGAGTGACCTCCTTTGGAGAGGTCTTTGTCATCAAATTTTAGAACCTGCACAGAGAGCCCTCAGTGGCACTGACTGGCCCTCATTTAAAGCACCAACATCGTATAGCAAAAGTCTTGTGATTCTACTAGGTCTATATTCCAAGGACATCCAAAAAAAGGGGGGGGGAAGAACCTATTTGTACAAAAATATTTATAGCAGCTCTTTTTGTGTTAGCTAAGAATTGGAAACCAAAGGGATGCCCATCAATTAAGAAATGACTGAACAAGTTGTGGTCTATGAATGTAATGGAATGCTATTGTGTTATAAGAAATGATGAACAGGATGCTTTCAGAAAAATCTGAAAAGACTTACATGAACTGATGCATAGTAAAGTGAACAGAACCAGGAGAATATTGGACACAGTAACAGTAATATTGTTTGATGAAGGATTGTGAATGACTTAGCTATTCTCAGCAATACAATGATCTAAGACAATCCCAAAGGACTAATGATAAAGCATACTATCCGCCTCCAAAGAAAGCACTGATATTGATTGAACACAGACTGAAGCATGCTATTTTTTGCTTTCTTTCACTTTTTTCTTTAATTTGAGTCTTCTTGTACAAAATTACTAATGTGGAAATGTTTTGCATAATTGTACATGTATAACCAATATCTGATTGCTTACTATCTCAGGGAGAGGGGATGGGTAGGAGGGATAGAATTCAGAGCTCAAAACTTTAAATAAAACTGTTAAAAAAATTTTTTTAAGTCCTGTGATTTTTGTCACTGTAGTTCCACCCTTCAATAATGCAGATCACAGCCTCTCCACACCTGAAGAAATGGCTCCTAAAAGTCACCAGGACCCAAAACATCATTATCTGGTTGCCAACCTTCTTGTGAAAAGTTACATAAACAATTATTTTAAATGGAAATGTAAATTACATTACACAAATCCCGGTCTTCTTCAACAGATGATATGGAACAAGATGTCCACTTTCGTCAATGACCTAGGGTCGTCAATACAAGCCAGCTATTCTCCCCTGCTGCTCTCAGGGCCTAATGAGGTGAATGAAGCTATTTATCTCAACCCTCCTTGGTCCCACACTTCTATGCTTTTTCATAGAAGCCCCAAACAATGTTAGAACTGGAAGGCTCTCAGAAACCATCTTACCACCCCCCCCCCCCAAAAAACAAACAAACGTGAAAGAGGAAAACATGAAAATTAGAGAAGAAACAGAGAAATCTGAAAACCAAAAAGCTATAGACTACTTTTAAGACTAAGAAAATCTATCATTATTTTAAAGATTTTTTAAAAAGAGAGGAAGATGTTCAAATCCTTCTCAGACACTTGACATTTAGCAGCTGTGTGACCCTGGGCAAGTCACTTAACCCCAATTGCCTCACCAAAAAAGCAAAAAAATTTAAAAAAAAGAGGAACTCTATGAACACAATTACAAAACACTTTTCATGCAAATAAAATCAGAGCTAAATAATTGGAAA